TTCTTCCTATGCTGTTCTTTGCCCTGATTTTTTAAAATACGGTGATTCCTCCGATGATGACGTGCCCTCCGCAATCTCAGAGCTGACTCAATCTCAATATTAATAGAGCAAACTCTCCCTCGCTGAGAATGCCTTGTGGCCTCTCCGGCTTCAGGTTTCTCCGCCCGTTTCTCCGGTATTTCTGACCTGACCTTCCAGCTTCCTGAGTCGTCATTTTTCGGCTCCTCGGCTCTAACCTCATGCTTGTCTCCTCAACCTCTCACCCTTCGCTTCTCATGCGCTCCTTCTTATTCTCCTGGACTTGTGCCCTTACCTGCTCAAACTTCGTGATGTCCCCTTGTTCCAGTTTCGTCTCTTGTTGTTCGTGAATAACCTCGCAGTCCTGGTTATTGACTGTTCTTAAACAGCTCACTTCCCAAACTTTCTCGTCTGAGGGTTTCTTCATACACTGAAGTTCTGTAACATAACTTCCTACCTTCTCAAAAAACCTGCGCCAGTGACTACCTCTAGCTTTTCCTGCCTGAAATATTCTTAATCCCGCGCGTCCTATCTCCTTTTCCTCCATATTATTAAACCACTCGTTCATTACTTCCGATGCTACTTTTCCTCCCGCCCAGTCGTTCAGGGCTCCATAAATCTGTTGACATGCATCTTCTTCTCCTATTTTCCAACCGTCCTCCTTGGCAGAAATATTCTGATACAATGTCAAGATTATACTCAATAGGTCCATACACGTCGCTAAGTTCCTGTGATGTTTCTGTTGCTTCCATAATCCTGAGGAACGCCTTAATCCAGACCATTCATTATTGTTCTCCCTTGGTTCACAGGCTGCGCTAGGGATTCCAGTAAATAAAAATCCCACCTCCTCCACTTTGCACTCCGAAGCTTCGGGAGACCAGACGCCGTCTGCTGTCTCTTCTAAGTTATTGATCCACAACTCTACTGCTTGGCACATCAACATACTCCTCAGTTGGAGATCATGTAACCCTGTGAAACCATCTCCTAATGCCCGCTCCCATCTGTTCTCGTCGATTGGCTCTGCTGTCGTATTCGGCGTCTGTTCTAATTCCTTCAACCTTATTCCTTCGGTCGGTTCCTTCGCCTCAGTGCCGAGGTCCCGCTTGTCCCACAGCCTCTTTTCTATCCAACTGCTGAATCTTAATGCCATTCTGTTTGAATGCCTCCCTTCTTTTATGACTCCTCTGGCTCCACCTCCCTATTTTAGCGATTGTGCTGGTGTTTGGCAGTTTCCGATCCTTACCTTTGCCGACGATCACTTACTCATCCGGCGTGTTAACCGTGTCGGTTCCCGGACTTAACCTCCTCCGTTGAGTCCGCTTCGTTTGTTCTTTGAACTTCCTTCTTCTTCTCCCCCTAGACGTCTTAACGTCCCCCTCCCTTGCCCCCTAGGGCTACTTATTCGGCTTGGTTTCCTCCTCTTCTCAGTTGACGTACCCCCCCACGTCCCAGTTCCTTCTGAGTCCACCCTTCTCCTTTTCCGCTTCTCTTATTTCCCTCCCCCTACGTCTCCTTTTCCGTCGCCTTGGGGGCCCACCTATCCCTTTATTTCGTTATTTCGTGGGGCACCAGTGCCCTTTCCCTTAGGACTGTGTCGTTCTTCCTGGCGTTTTTCCTTATCCCCCGCCCCTTTTGAGTTCACACTCCCTGTCACCCCCTCCTTTGCTTCGCAATTCTCTATTCAGATGCCCCTTCTCTCTTTTCTCCTGACAAGCGCTACATCTTCGCTTCCTCCTGCAGTTGCTGTCCACTCTATCCTCTGTCATCTACTCTCCTCTTCTTCTAATGCAATTCTCTCTATTGGCCTGGCCGTGCAGGTCCTGCCTCCGACTAACGGTGATGATGACTAATCTCCTGTTCATGACGTCTTATTGGTCGTACCACTGCTCCGTGTTCCTTCTTTGGCGTCTATCCCGCTCTCCGATCTTTTTGACCTAGACCTCTAGCTCTATCTGAGACTTCTCTTTCTAGTGACTCCCTGGCCCTCCTCGAAATTCCCCGGAGTCCAATAGGGCGCGTGTCCCCGGTTGACCTGTACCTCCTGGTACCTTCCGTGTGGCTAGAGCTATCTCCTGGCTTGTTACCGTCTCTCTTCCGTTCTAGTCCTGTTTCTCCCTTGTTAATCCCTCGCTTCTTATGTTTCCTTAGCCGCAGCCGGTTTCTCAATTTGCTCCGCCCTTGACCTGTCCGCTTTGAAACTTCGAAGGACTCCTCAACTTCTTACCTGATTCTCAGATTCCCTTCTGTCCTGACTTGGGTCCCAAGTCTTGACTCGGTAGGTTGCCTTTTGTGCCTCTCAATGTTCAGAGACCTGTTCATCGGAGGCCTCTTGATACCCAGTCGCTTCCCTTCTTTCCTTCTGGTCCTGCCTCCGTCTCGGTCCGGTTGTCTGTTATCTCCTCTAAACCACCCGGCTCCTTGGTGGATTGGAATTTTCTGCTGAGTCTGACTCGGGAGGCTTTTGAGTTGATTCTGGGTCTTGAGGTTTTCGCTGTTGTTTTGTGGGATGTCAGGTCCTGACTTGCGAATTTCAGTCGCGACCTCCTCCCGTTCCGGTTTATTAGTGCCCCCCTACTCATTACCGGATTTCTGCAACGGCTGGTCTGATTATCTCCTTCTTCTTTTTTGGGAATTTAATCACGAATTCTCCTCAGAGCATGCCTGATAGTCCGCTGTTTTAGGGAACGGTCCCTTCACTGCCCCGGCTTCCCTTCTGAGGTATTCCTTTGACTTGGGGCGTCTGTCCCTTAGTGTTGTTCCCTTTTCATAACTACTCTTACTGTCCTGTGTCTGCAACTGCTTATCCTGAATACGCTCGCTCCTTAACTCCCCTCTCCTTCCTTGAAGACTTGGGCCCTGACGTGGCTTGTTTTTTTAATTCGCTGCTTTTCTAAATGGCTCTGTCCCTGACGAGGATTCTGCGTCTCTTCTTGGGCGATTTAGTCCCTAGTCCCCGTTTCACCTCTATCTTGTCCTTCTTTGGTTATCCTTATTGATTGATACATTAGACGTGCCTGTTCCTCCTGTTCCTCTTTTGAGTGGTTTCTTGAGCCTTGATTCGTTTTTTCTTGTTAGAGACTTTCCTTATGCTCCCCTCGTTTACAGGAGATGACTGCAGGAGGGTCGCCTGTTGTTTAATATGCAGCTTCCGTTGCCGCTTCGTTGAGACAATCAGAGAGGCCTTGGGGAATCTGTCCTTCTGACTCTATCTATCGATTCCACTTCGGGAGTTCTTCCTGCGCCGTCTGGGAGCCCTCCATTCATCTTGTCTGTCATTTACTTGTCATCCTGTTCTTAGGTCCGGGGCTGTTCACCTTCTTCGGATGACGACGCGTTTTCAATGTTTACCTCTCCTTGAGGCCTCTCTTTTTTACTAGACCCTTGACGTGCATACCATAAGTTTCCCTTCTTATTTGTCTTAACTCCTCATAACCCCTCTCCTGATACTGTAGCCACCCTACCGGCTCCCTGCTAGTTTTTCTCACGTGTACCTCTGGATTGAGGCTTTTGTCTGTTTCGGAGCCTGTTTTTCTTCTGGGAAGAAGACTTGTGCTTTCAGATTTGATCGCCTGGTTCGAATCTAACCCCCCCTGTCGTTTCTGAACTTGTGACTTGAGAACTCGGATATCTATTCCTAGCTCCTCCTTTTTCTGTTTGTCCGCTCCCTTAGGGAGCCTGCCTAATCTCTGGGAATGTTCGGCTCTCAGACTTTGTGATGCCTACATTCCCCTTATCCTTCTCTATTTTTGAAGTTTACGTCCCTTGACCTCATCCGGTGCTGTGAGTTATGCTGATTTTCTAGGTTTCTCCTTATTATTCCTTTCTGAGGAAGTTCTAATCTGGCGGTTTATTGTTGATTTTATTTGACAATTAAACGCCATTAGAGATCTTATCCTCTGGAAGGGGCTGTGGGGTGATCTTCCCGTTCGACGTGTTACATAAACCCTACATCTTCCACTTTGGCCTCTTTTGGCCTGGGAGCCTTCCCTGCCCCATCCTCCTGGGGAGTTGACTCTCCTTGTTAAATTTTTCATTCGCCCCTTGCAGGGTGTCATGTCCTTTTTTACGCTGTGTGAAGTCTGTACAGACTGGTCACTTGGTCCTCAGGGCCCTTTGAGGGATAAGGGTTATGTAGCCTGACCCGTATCCTCCCTGGTGACTTTGACTTCTTCCTTCTTGTGATTTTGTCAGTTCTGAGTGTTGTTTTTAGGATCTTATCTCTCACCTAATGACTAATTCTTTCGTTACGATTGTCCTTTGAGATTACTCGACTTGGATTAGATAGCTGCTGACTGCTGCTGATCTTATTGATTCAATCTTGGGGGGTTCGCTTCTTTAGCTTTTACTTCGGTGGGGTACTGTCTGGGCCCCTTAAGTGGGCTTGCTGGTTGGTGTTTCCTATCTGAACCCCTACACGGCTTCGATTCCTTCTGCTTTTCCTTAATTGAAGTCCTTTCTTTTGGTATTGACTTCCACTTCACGGTTCCAACTGGTCCTCTATCCCTCCTGCCTATTAGGACTTGACCTGTTGTACTTGATGGGTGTTCTTGTCCGTTTAGATTTCTATTCGTCATCATATAGTCACGGTAAAGGCCCGGCTGATTATTCAGATCTGTCGTTTCAGCCTCGTTAGATAATTGCTGCTCTGTTTAGCTTTCAGCTATTATATCCCCGATTTAACTGGTAGTCTTCCTGTTTGATTCCTTGTATCCTTAGATTCCTGAGGGAGGCTTCCTGTTGTTAATAATTGTCAGCACTTCCTTGACCAGTTCTATTGCGGCTTTACTTCATTTTTTATTTTGGCTCCTTCTGACTTCTTGAGCTTACACTAGTCCTCCCTTCTCCGTAATTTTAGTTCAACTCGGACTTCTGAGCAAATTCGATTTTGCCTCCTTTTTCATGATTTGGCTCTTTGAAGTCCTTTTCTTTTCTTGGAGTTGGATTTCTCCTATGTGTTCTTTGTCAGTTTTGTTTCCAAGTATTGCTTCGAGTTTTGAGGCTTGGGTTGGAGTACTGTGTCCTCGTTTGTTTAACTTTAAGATGATTTTAAAGTTGGGATTGATCTTTTCGATTTCTGTTGGTTTCTTCCTGATGACGTTTTATAGTGGGGATCTGTCGTTGGGCTTTGTTGCATAAATGTCTGCTTGAATGGTCCTGATTCTCTGCTTGGGAAGGCAGTTTATTCCGACTTCTTTTTTTTCTTTTTTAACATTCTGACGTTTGGTTCTTACTTGTATCATCACATATTAGTTAGTGGTTTGTCCACTGGAGATTGTTGCATGGGCTTCTAATGACACTTACGAGTCGTTGTCAGGAGATTCAACCTCATTTCCTACGTAAGTTTTGGCCTTCTTATTTCTGTATTGGAGGCT